GGATATATGACCTTGAATTATCAAACTTTTTACTGCCTTTTCTGTATATTTAATATATTCGATAATCTGGATAAACATTTTCTAGGCCAGTTTTACCATCAACACATTTTAAGACTTGTGGAAATTTCTAATTCCAACCATTCTGTTTGATGAATCCATTAGACGCCTAACTTAGTGGTTTACCTCAACTTTCCACATCATGTAATTGAATCCTATGATAAGCTAATACTTAGACATCTGATGTTGTGTGTGATGTTGTTTAGTAGACTCTTGAACAAAATAAGGGAAAGTTTAAAACAAATGGCACATTCATAACTAAAGAGCCGGCAGCTGTGTAAACATGTGAATTATTGGGACATTATTTTCTAGATGACGAGTTTGGGCTGTATAAATAATAGGAATGTTTCTCCTTTCAGGTGATGTGAGCACAAGAGATCATCCTAATGAAGAAGAAAAGACCAGCCCTTCTTCCAGCAGAATTACAATACAAGCAGAAGTAACTTCAAATGACAATGAATCCAGTCAAAATTTACCAGTTCAAGTGGACCAGAAGCTCCTGGACACTGATATGGCCACTAGTGCTCTTCTTAAGTTATCAGCCACTAAATGCGATTCCAAACACAGTTCAGCCCCCAGTGCTGCCAATAGCAACCTGTCATTTGAAATGACTTCAAATGAAAATAAAAAGCATGCGTTTTCTGCATCTAGACTGCCTATCTCAACCAGCTCTTCTAAAAATGTAAATCCTTCTGCTGCATCATACAACAAGCCATCTAAGAGGAGCAAAACACAAGTGAAATGTAGAAAGGTCAATTCTGTACATACTTCCAGTGATCTGCAAATGTGTTCATTAGATTTCAGAGCTAGTCAAAATATTTCTAATGCAGCTGGTCCATTATATGTGCATAATTCTCCACTGCATGTGTCAAAGAAAAAGTGTTCCGTCCAGTTTGTGAACAGAGGTGATACAAATGTAGTCGCTTCCAGCCTCAAAGTTTCTCTTTTGTCAGATCTGAAAGGGGGCAGCATGGAGTACACTAAGCTGACATCACATGACAGTCCTACTGCCAGGATGCTGTCTGCACGCCACAACGTCAGTGAAGCTAAGCTCAAGGAAGAGGCCAATGAAAGTAGGGGGCACTTGAACGTCATTGGTCAACTGTCCCATGGTGACAACATCAAAGACAGGAGCTCAAACTCACCGCTTGTGGAGGAACGTGGTGAGGGTGCCACTTCAGCCATTGTGAGTCAGATGGGTTCTTCGTGTACAACAGATGACAGTCTGTCTCACAGAATCTGCTTGGAGTCGCCCTGTACACCTGGCACCACTGCCACTGTTGTCATAGCCTTGCCAAGTTACGTGATGGGCAGTCAGCTGACAGTTCATCCTCACCTGAGGGAGTCTGAACAGTGTGTTTTGGCTGGAGCAGACACCTACATGCTGGTCAGCTCCAGCAATTGTTACACCCTGGCTGCACCTGCCAATACTATCTCCACCACACCTTCATCATCACTTTTCAATGTTGCACCCTCTGTGATTTCCTTGCCCAACTCCCCTTCTACTGCCATGAATGAAATAGTAAGCTACTCTGTGATTGGATCAGGTTCTGTCATGGAGGCAGGGTCACCCCATATGATTGGCTCCCCCCATTTGCCAGACTCTCCGTCTGTTGCTGCTGTCCAGTCCTAAGTCAACTATACAATTTTTTTTCCAAGTGAGGTGCCACCTGCAGATTCTTTACATACCATAAGCCATATTTATTTTGTATTACCTACCTTGGATACTTCATCATATCATAGATCTTTTTGAAGAGAGATGTTGTAGTGTATGTGTTGAAATTATTTAAATAATTATTAAAATGATTATGGCAGAAAATATAATGGAGCCATAAGAACAAATAATTAGGACTACATATATCTTATGTAGGTCATGTGTGTGTTATGGGAGGAAATCACCTAAATTCTGTTGGCATTCATCTTAATCTTTTGACAGAATCATTTCATGGTGTTGTTCCGCTTAAAATTTCTTCCTGTGAAATGTTTGTGATGAGCACCCGATTTCTGAGTGATGTGAACAAGTTTTGTTTGTTGGGTCGTATTCAGCTGTGGATATATATGTCTTTCATCTTTCCGTACATGACCTTTTTTTAATTTACTAATTTATTTTGGCGAAAGAGGGAAATGACCTCTTACCTAAGACATTGCAAACCTTGATCAACATTATTTTTGACTACTTGCGTTACTGTATACATTTACATTACACCTGGATATATATATATTTATTTATTTCCCTTTTCTTAAAATGATCCTTGTCAAGGAAAACAAGTTTTAAAAGGCATTCATTTAACTTATTTGATATACCTCACTGGAATAGACGTTACTTTTACAGCTTCATTATTGGGAACAAATATGCAGGACTCGTGGATATTTGTTTCACGTCATCGTTCATCAATACTTTTAGGGAAAAACACACTCTGTGTGGATGTGTTCTACTTTGGATATTGAAGATTTTGTTTTATTTTGAAGACATTTTAAACTGTTCCCTTTAGACATGTTTATTTTTTAAGAACCACAGTGGTTTGTTTTGACCAGAGATATTTTTATTTTAATGTTAACCCTTTAAAAGGTAATGGACAATTTTTAGAAACGATTTTCTAATTTATTCAATTTTAATTATTAACCTTTGACATTTTACATGTACATGTCTTTTTTTTTTTTTTATATGTCCTACACAAAACTTGAAAACGAAATGTATTGGTGCTGAGAATATCAGTCCAATGTAAATAATGAATGTGTAACTGTGTCTACTCTTACTAGTCAGTGTCATAGTTTTGTCCCATTGAGTGCATGGTTCGTACTTATGAATTACTATTATTCCACACACAAAATTAAGGCTAAGGTAGTTTGTTTTTTTAAATAATGTAATGTGAAAATATTTTTTTCTAGTCGCCCATTATTTTCATTTGTAGCTTCCTTTACTAGGTTCTTGCAGACCTGTGCATAGTGAAGTATTAGTAAATTTATTGAGATCTTTAGTTTAGTTGATTGTGTTAACACAGTTAATTGTTATAGTTCTGAACATTACTGTGTGTATTACACGTAAAAACAAGATTTGACTGGGTACCATAACATTGGGTTCCATAGCGAACCAATAAAAAAAGCCTTGGGTGAGATCCCACATTTGTTTGTTTGCTTGCATTTACTTTGTTAAAGGAAGTATTAACAATATTCAACAGCTAATATTTGTTGACAATGTGCTTCAATTTTTTTTAAGGAACTTAGTAATGGCATTCTTGTCTGTCCGTTCTTGATGAGTTTATTTTAGAGAGAAAAAGGTTTTCATTGATGTATCATTTGCTTTGAATCTCTTCTTTATCAAAATGCTACTGACAGTGATTTCATGTGTGCCTTGTTTGGCTTGCCATATTTATTCCACACGGCTGAGATTAACCCATTTAATGTACAAGAGCAGTATGTACACTGACATTTATGATACTCTTTTAGTTGTGTGGATATATGGTCATTATTTTTGCATGGCTACTTAAATGTTATGAACTATGTAGGCTTTTATTTAACCTTTGATTTACTCTAGCTGTATCACGGATTGAAAACTAAGAGCTCTGTATGAAAAGCTAAAATTATTTTACGTTATAACATTTTTTGTTTGTTTGTATTATTAAAATGGTCAACCTTGTGAACTTGAACCTGGATATGCTGATCTCTTAGCTGAAAAGTATCCAGTAGTACAACCAATATATATATATATGTGTGTGTGTGTGTTGTAATTTTAATTAATAAGGAATTGTCCTTAAGTGCAAAGATGAATGAATAGTCCAGTATGAGCCTACAAATTATGACACATCCAACGCAGATAAAGCTTTTGTAATATCTAGAGAACACTAAAATTTTACTGCATTTGGAGATAATGCATGCTACAACAATCACTCCTTCAGTTTGGATTTTACTACAACTGCAAGTGTCATAACTAGGTTTAACTCAAGAACCAAATCACATGCATGCTTTCAGATACAGACCTTTTGATAGTTTTACAGAAGTTTTGTACACTATGTTACAAGAGGTGTAGTTACAAAGTCTATTTTTTTTTTTTTTTTTTTTTGTGGTTAAATGGTAAGTTTTTAAAACATTCTATTTTTTGTGTGGTTTCTGATTTTCATATTACAATCAATGCTTGAATCAAACTGTCATGGGGTGAGACCAAATTTCAGTTTTTGTCAGTGCTAGAAATACTAGTAAGCTCTAATTGTTTGTTTTTATATATATTTCAGTTAAGTGAATTATTTGTCAAAATAATTACTTTAATTTTGGGTTCAATTTGTTGTTAAAACTATAATTCAGAATAGTTCTAACGCTAAATAATTTTCTCAAACTTTACATTTTCTTGTATCAAAAAGATTTGTAAAGCAGCATCTCTGTCATGCGCTAGGACAAGTGAATGTTTGTAAAACTTGGCTATTAAATCTAATTAACTCCCTATCATTCATCTATAATTGTGTACCAGCATTCAGGCATACAATTTTTGTGTGATAATTTGTTGAACCACAATTAGTAATTTAAACCACAATATATTTTAATCAGTTAAGTTTGATCTCATATTGTCATAGATTAGAAATACATCTAGATTAGGGATACAGTTAAACCCATTTTCTTTTTAATGGTATGTGCATGTCATATACCAGAATTTTATGGTTGAATTTTTTTTTTTTCACAAACTTTATATCAAAACCTTTTTTTTTTGGGCAGTTAACTACGAAAACTAACAGAACAATTATGATTACTTTATTTCACGACTTGACTTAACTTTTGACTTCCTACGAAAAGTTCTTGTCAATATTAATGTTATTTATCCAAAGAATTGTGAGTGCCAGAATGCCTGTTTTTTCTTTTTAAATAATGAAGTTTCCACAGTAGGTTTTAAAAAGAATTGGCAAGAATTCATCATTTTGTTTTCAAGTCATGTATTTTCCTCTATCAAAAAGCAGCTTTTTTTTTTTTTTTTTTTGTAATGTATTCTACTTTAACTAAAGAACAAAACATTTCTTTTAAACACTGCATAAGGCTAGGTTTATATTTTCTTAAAATTGATATGGCAATGCCCTTGTACACAAGACATTTATACTGTGTATTTTTATCATGTGTTCTGTTCTTCTACAGTACATTATTTATTCTTATAGTCCTCTTTCATATATATGCACCTTATCAAAATGTTTTCTTATACATTGTAACGATTGACCAGATGACATGGTGTAACCTAGAGGACACTTGTGAATTGCTTCACTCTGCCATTTTATTAGTATTTTCAGAACTTTTAACTTTTATTTCAAAGCTGTTTCATATGTATGCAAAAAAAAAATTATGTATTGTATTGAGTCTCATCAAAGAACTGACATCTATTTTTTTTAAATTATTATTTTTTTTTTCTTTTTTTTAAATGAACTTCCATAAATTGGGTTTGAGACATTATAGATTTGTTTTTATTCATTTTTTTTAAAACTAAGAATTTATCTGAAATTATAGAAATAAACCTTCTAGCGTCCTGACTTGCATTTTTTTTTTTTTTTTCTTGACTGAAAAAGTACATTTTGATTTGAATGTATGAAATAAAATACAAGTTTTATCATTTTGTGGATTTCTTTCACTTTGTTTATATTGTGTGTACCTATTATGGTGTTCCTGTTTGCTCTTAAATTGTTATTGTTTTGGTTGAAATGCTGAGGTGGACAATTGTAGTCTGAAATTCCATTGGCTAGTGTATCATATATGTAGATAAGAGACCATTTGAAAATTTAATAAAACAGGAAAAAAAGAAGTTAGGTTTTCTTCCAGCGATCAATGAAGTTTAATGACACCAGTTGTAGAATGTCATACTATTGAATGGGGTCTGATGAACTGAACAAAATAATTAACTAAATACTAGCGTTCCTGATAAACCCCTCAATCTGCACATTGTGTGCACCTAATGTGAGGACTGACATTCGTTTTAGCCGACAGTTCGGTGTGAAATTATTGTTAAACGTTTCAATGCAAACTCTAATAGGGAACATGAAGACCATTATCAAATTTTGAGACGACTTTATCCCAGGTGACGAAAAACTACCATTCAACTGTAAAGCTTATACATGGATCTATTTTGAATGTCAAGAAATAATTGTGGCTTCTAGAAAGCATCAGGACCCGCTTGCAGATATCCAGATAAACATTCAAACAGTGCAAGAATGTAAAGAGACACTACAATGAACGCTGATAAAATCTTTACACCCAGAAGCATCAGTGAATCTACGAAAATTGTAAGAATGCTGATAAAATCTTTACACCCAGAAGCATCAGTGAATCTACGAACATTGTAAGAACGCTGATAAAATCTTTACACCCAAAAGCATCAGTGAATATACGAACATTGTAATTTCACTGAACAATAATTAAGCTTTTTTTTTATAAATCTACCACCAGTAAGCTAATTACGTTTACTATCACCTGCTGGTATGGTAATACTTCAATGGCACAAAGACATCAACTAAACAAATCAATTCAAAACATTTCACGAACACAGCTACCATTTTTTAAAGAACAAAGTTTCCAAATCATAAAATCTTTCAAGACAATGAGCACCCATTACGTCACAGTTACATCATTTCTGGACGGAGTGGTCGTCTGCTTTTATGCATTATGGCTAGAATAGAAATTTAAAAACTCCTTTTTTTTTTTCCTAAGTTTACTCAGGGTGCATTAAGATCATTTATCTTAAGTAGTCAAACTGAATTTTCAATTGTTTGGACCAATACAAAAAAGAATGATATTAGCTTTGTCAAAACGAAAAATAAATAGATCGGTTGAGACCTACATATTTGCCACATCTGATGCAGACAAACAGAGCAGGATTTATATTTGATAAGTTCCTATAATCTATTGGAAATAAAGGGCCCCTTTTAAGGCAATACCCCTTTAACCATTTTCGCCCCCCCCCCAACCAGGCAAGCGGGGCACCTAGGCTATAGCTTCTATTGCCTAAAGGTAAATCCAGCACAGCAGACAAAGCCTATTTATGTTTTATGCAGGTGTAAATAGTTAAACCGGTCGCCTCGCTGGTCCCCGGTTCATACCCGTCCACTGGCATCCCCCATACATGGATGAATGCCTGGTCGTGCGGTTTGCGCGCCGGACTGTCGTTCAGATTTATCGATGGCCCAGGGTTCAAACCCTGCCCGCTCCCATCCCCCGTCGTCCTGCGGGAGGTTGGGACTATGAAGTAATTATCTTCAATTCTGAAGGAACATCCGAAACATGTAAAACAAACAAATAGTCCTGCGGATTAGGATTATCTCCCACTCAGATGCAAATCCGAAACATAGTAGGCTAAAACATTACAAACAATACAAACATCCACTTTACGTTCTAATCAAATGGGAACAATCAACTTATAATTTAATACTTTTAATTAAAAACTAATAATTTAGAACACTTCTTCCTTGCTTTGGATGTTAATAATTTTTTCCCCATAGCTTTCTGAAAAAAAAAAAAAAAATGCGAAACTAATATACATTGCCGATTCGGACTTTAGCTTACTATGGCGTCCGAATCATCAAATGGTAGCATGGAAAATAAAAGTTCTGTAAAGGACGAATCATCTTCAGTCGACATTCAAAAAAATGTAGATCCAGAATTAGATGCTATACTAGACAGTGAGCTTGTATTAATTATTGCATTACTATACAATGAAAACTAGATCTAGATTCTACCTAGATTTTGTTTTAGACTACGTCGTCTATGTCTCCTATAAATAGTATAATAAATTAAGTATAAAAATAATTATAAACTAAATAATCATTATAACTATAACTTATAAGTCTTATTAAGTTATTAACTAGATCTAGATTATTAGATATCTATAACTCGACTCTACACTGTAACACTCTACTACATCTAGCTCTAGACTCTAGAATCTCTAAGTCTAGTAATAAAAACTTAGAGACACTAGGCTGACTAGGACTCTAGTCACTAGACCATCTACTAGTACTAGTCTAGATCTACTAGAGTGGAAATGAGAGAAATCTTTTCCATTTAATTAGTTTAAACCATTGAATTGAATTATTATTGATTATAATTGATATTGGTTGCAACTTCTAGGCCTTAAGTCACATCAGGTGACATTGACAATGAATGACACTGACAGAGCTTGCATCATTACAATTTGTATCTATCTAGATCTATATATTTAATTATTTTATTGATTGCACACAAGTTAGAAGTGCAAATCTTATGAGGCTATTAAATTTCCTTTGTATATGATACCTAGGATCTGCATTACAAATGAAGATTTAGAGATAGGATTGGTTTGCAGCAATTGGACCCCAAAATCATGACAATGACTTTAGAAGCTGTCAAAAAACTCAAACTAAAACTCTGTTGCCGTTTTGCAAGGTGCTCTGGCTCCCAAAAACCTTTCTCTAGAAAACAGTAGCAGGAAAAAGAAAAGGCAGAGAGATAGAAAGCCACGGAAAAACGACATTGTATAGAAAAGAATTGATGGGCCTGTCATTGAAAGAAATTCTATCCAAGGCAAAAGACTGGAAGGAATGAAAAAATATGGTCGACAGATCTTGTGTGGTGCCCCAATGGTCCAACAGACCAAGGGATTGGTGAAGGTGAATGTCCTCTAGTTTTTCTATGTTTGGGAAAAAGGACACAAATATATAGCTTGCTGCTGTATTGAATTTAGCTACTTACTTTTAGTCACCCAGCTATACATATCTTGCTTAGCATTTTGTACTAAACATCTGCATCCAGCTATGAAACAAAAAAAAATTTCTTCCTGGTTATTCAGAGCCCAGTCCTAAGAACTTTGTCCAGTCTGGGACCTACTGATTAAATGTGTTCTATTAAAAGTGCGTAAGAAGAATTTTTGGTGTCGTTAACTTTGACAGAGCTAGTAATGTGATCATAATACAAGTTTCACCAACTGTCAATGGATGACCTTGAAAAACAAAACTACTTAGTGGAAAGTTCAGGGTCATATCATTTGAATGCTAGTTTACTAATATCCCAAATTAACTCTAAAATGGAAATTTAAAAAATGTCAATATGAATCATGGGCCATCATCCCCTCCCTTTCCCTTTCAGACCTTGTGGTTGAGGGCAGGTGATGTATAGGTCATCTGTTTCTGTGGCCTATGGTTAACAAGGGTATCATGTGGCCAGGACAATGACCAACCACCTTTACTTTTCACCAGCACATGTCAGGTACCCATTAGAGCTGGGTGAACTCAGAGGTGCCCAAAGATCCCAAAATTAAAAATCCCAGTCTTCACCAGGATTTGATCCTGGGACCCCCGGTTTGGAAGCCAAGCGTTTTACCGCTCAGCCACTGTGTCTCCATATATTTTTGTTGGGTGAACCTTTATTTCACATCCTGACAAGCCACAAGTTACACAGTTATAAGTATTTAATTATCATGTACCACTAAGACCAGCATTTCTTTATCTATAGATGAGCATAGCATACCTCTTGAAGTATTCAACAGAGCATCAATTCCTTGGACTAGTCAGAAAACATTTCTTTAATGGTTAACTATGTTGCTCAGTGTAAAACAAAAGTGCTTCAGGTCCTTAAGTACAGATTTGTTAGTGAAAAAAACAAAACAGTCAAGTTATGGACATGTTTTCAAGAGATGCACTGAACATAGAAACTTGAGAAATGTTTTGTAATATTTTCTTTGAGATTTCTGAAATGTTTGTTTCTCCCTTAGGTGCATTAGCAGATTTTGATAAGCCAAAAGAAGCAGCAACCAAGCCACTTGACCCACCACAGGCAGCAGAGGCTGAGAAAGATAGTAAAAAACCTGTAAGTCTTTATAAAAAAAAGGAATTTTCTTATTTGTGTATGCCCCTATAGGTGTGCCTCTTGTGGTTCAACAAGATATTATTGAAATGTTTTTTTTTTTTTTATGATCTCTGATATTCTTATTTCTTATACCTGAAACCTTTAGAGTGAAACATTCATTTTTTTTTCTTTTCTGATAAACTCATTGACCTCAAGGTTATGAAGCTAATTTTTGGACTCTCTTTGTCATTCTCTAATCTATATTAACATCCAGTGACATAGCTAGGGATTAGGGGGCCGGAGGGGCTTAACCTCATTAGGGACCCCTGCATTTTGAAATTTGACATCATGACATAAGATAATGTTGTAATAATTAATGTCAAAACAAATTTTGGACACTCATTTGGGGGTACCCCCTGAAATGGGGGCCCGGGGGGGGGTTTTTTTTTTTACAAATTTGGACCCCCAACCTAGCTATGCCACAGTTAACATCATTACATGATTTCTTTTTCCTTGTGTTACTAATATGAAATGATTATGTGAGAACTATCTTCAATAAAACATTACTTCTTGTTCGAGTCTCCCCCCAGTTCTAACTCAATACCTAGTCATCAATGTTTTCTTCACTATTATTAGTTACTTTGAACATTTTATTCATTCCTGTTATCATATTGTTATTTTTAAAATGCTTTTAATATCTGTTTTGTATTTCATTTCTTGACTTAATTTTATGTAATAGTTAGTGTGAAATGCT